TGGTTAGACTAACATTATTAGACTACTAGGTATTAGCGATAAACTTCCTTAATTTGCTACCCAGGTTTTTTTATTAGTGTTGTTTCAACACATCTTTAATAGAAAGTCATAACGTTCCCATTGCCTGAGAATCTAGGCCAACACCTTTATGCCTATTAAAGAGCCTGAAGGTACCTGCTGATATTTTCCAATGCTGCTCTATTTAACAAAGCGCTGCAATGTGTATAGGCTTGCGTGAAAGTATACTTTGGGCCACAAAAATTCCTGATGAGACATTTTGATTGTGTTCACTTTGGAAAGGATTAGTCCTGATTGTTCAATGCATGGAAATAGAGTGGTATGACTCCCTGTATAGCCCCCAGGACCACTATGAAAGCACAAGGTAATGATGTATACAATAAGAATGTCCACTCTGGGGAAATGCATTGGGTAAATCCTCCTCAAGCTACAAACTTCTGACCCAGTGGACTGTCTATCCAGCTACTTTCTGAGCCAGTGTAATCCATGTTCATCCAACTGCTGTCCATATGTGTGAAGTCTACATGCTAAGAAAATCTAACTGAAACCTGCTCCATGTCAAAACCACCATTGACTTCAGCCTGAACAGGATTGGGCCACTGGTATGCTCTATACACAAGAAAGTATGTCCTTAAATGTAACACCTATGGGGCCAGATCCATCACCACTGATGCCAATGGAAGCTTTGTGATACACACCAGCAACAGTCCATGTAAAGGCCTGAAAATGTCAAAGAACTGAAGCTCTAGTCCTGCAAGGTGCTGAGCTACTTCAGCCCCCAGCCACTGGCGTTTGAAGATGTGTCACAGACTTGGGCCCCAATTTTTGTCTAAGTACCAAATCTTGATGAACTTGGACAAAATCTTTGAACGCAGATTTGGATCAACGTAAAGGGAAATACAAGCTATCAAGGCAGGGAGAGGTAATTCTCCTTTCAGTCAGCTGCAGTACATCTCTCTCTTATTCCCCCTACTCCCTCCCCACCAAAATGTAAGAATCTAATGACGAGATGTGACTACCTAATAGCGTATCTCTGAACTATTGTGTACAGCCTCCTGGGAGCTAAACAGACATTGTAAACAAAACCAAGTGGGAAACTGGTTCTATTTATTCTCATTTGATGGAGAAGTTCAAACTGAAGTTGTGGTTTACAAAACCACAAGACCATGAGGTGCCAGTAGAGAGGCCTGGATGTTCATTTGATACCCACATGCCCCATGTCTTGCTAAAAACAATGGCATATGTATAGAACATTCCTAGCATTAGCAGTAAATCGTAGAATGCTATTAAAAAATAGAAGCAAAGCTTTGAAGCTGCAGCATCCCAAAGTATTTTATAAAACTATGGAGTATTTCGGAAAGTATTACTGAACTGCAACCAACTCTGAGACCGGGCTGTGTAACAGCACAACCTTGCAGCAGTTTAGGACAGGAAACGAAGAAAATCACCATATCCAACTGAAACTGTAGGGGCTTTTTAGGTGGGCAAGAAACTATTTAAGCTAGAATTTGGCCAGGAAAGAAGGCTAACTTGCAAAAAGTTCTATGATAGGTTCTTGAATGCCCAGAAGTAATCAGGATTCCATTTTGTAATCTCATCTGAAAGATGACAACGCGCCCCTTCCACCATACTGAGGTATTCCTTAGAAGTCTCCCTTCAAAGCGCTGACCTGGGCCTAAGGTGCTCAGAACACAAAGTAATGGATGCAGTATGAAAACCTAGATAAGCTATGGCAGTTAGTTAAGATCAAAGGCCTTGTCTACACTTGAGTAGCCTCAGTTCAACCATCAGTGGCCAGCAGCTATTGCATCTACATTGGTAACACAGACACAGTCAAGCCAAGCTTTGCACCTGTGAACATCTTTGCTTAACCGAGCCTATGCTTATTGGTTAGCACCACTGCACACACCAATTGTTTCCAACAATGGCTGAGTCAGGGGTATTCCCAAGCATAGGTAAAGCCTAAGACAGAGCAAACCATGCTCAGCTGTTAAGATTCAATGGGACTCTAGCTACAGTGCATGGATGTCCGTGTTTTTCCATTCCTGCTGACGAGATGGACAGGAAGTGTGCATAGGAGAACAAATCACAATGTATTTCTTTAATCAAAGCAAGAGGCGAATTTTCACCTGAAAACATGGAGATTAACACCTAAATTTGATAAAGTTGCTGTCACGCAGACATAACTGAAAAGAGAGTCACACTTTTAGAAGTAGGCTCAGGAAAGAAATTTAAAAGAAAAATATTTTGCCAGCTTTTGCTGCTCTCTGTGCAGTTCCTCTACCATTTTTCCAAGCAGACCCAGAAAACACAGTTTCCTTCAGAGAGGAAAAAATTGCAGTTTCTTGTTGACTGAAAATTCAAAGGGCCAGTGTCCTATTTACCCTTTGGGCCCTTTACCCCACTCTGACAGTGTAAAGGATTAAGTGAAAGTAAATTCTATCTATACCCCCCCTTTATTACCAAGTCACTTTGCTGGAGTGGTATAAAGGGGCCTTCGTGTAGATGAGAATCAGGCCCTTCGTGTACCAGCAGAGAGTTGTGAATACATCACTTTTATTAGCCCCAACAGAATAGAAAGCAGTGTGTCTGCAGAAGAAGGCAGCCTTGTGGCAAAAGCTCATGACTGGGAGTCAGGAGACCTTGGGTCTATTCACAGTTCTGCCATTGATGCCTTGGGTAAGTTACTTATGGCCAGATTATTAGTTTTTAAAAGAGGTCAATTCTCATTTAAGGATCTAGAGACAATGGCCAGATTTTCAAACCTACTCAGCATCCAGCAGCTCCCATTGCTCCTGAGAGGGCTACCCACACCCTGGTTTCCTTGTCAAGCAATGGAACTAAACTGATTATACTCCCCATTTGGCTGTATGTATTCACCCCTGAGCACAGGGCTAGCTCTAAATTTTTGCACTACTTAAACCCTATGATGAGATCAGGAGTGTGCAGACTAACACATTACAATGCTCTTAATAAATACACTCTGTATCTGGGGGAGAAGAAAAGTCTCCCATTCATTCTTTAATTATTTTGGACTGAGCAACAGAAACTCGGTAACATATTTTCCCACCACATAAAAGTGAGCCATTGTGTCAAAGACTATGGCTGGTATTGGATTAAAAAGTAAAAGGCATGGATGAGGTAATATCAGGCAGGCCACAGATTATAGAGGGCTCAGCATTTGTCCAAAGGAATGTCAGGCATCCCAGGGATAAAGGTGATGATGGGTAGGTAAGTGTTGCTGCCTTTTTCCTTTCTTTGCACTAACCCTTGCATGTGTCCATTAGTATTAACCCCTTTAGAAATGCATAGATCCCTGGTTTTGGTTACAGGGATAGATTTTTCCTAGGGGTCTGGAGTACATCAAATCTGCCTGTTTTTAATTCACACAAGGGAAAGTGAATGGAGAGTCTCTGGGATAAAAAATATGAAAGAAAAGAAGGTTTAACAACCGCCAAGAAAAATTTGTTGACGATTCATCAATAAGTAACAGACATGCCCATCTCTTCCTTAATGCAACTGAAATTCTAGCTAATTACTTTACCCTGTGGTCAATTCAGCCTAGTGGTAGTTAATTCACTGTCATTAAATCGCATGAAGAAGTGACCCTGATTGGCTTCTCTAGCCCTTTGCCAGAAGCTGCCTTCTTCAATCCTGCAGTACCCGTGGCCAGGTTATCTGCTGACTAACATTGGCCTCTTGCCTCCTCTCTAAACTACAGGCCAGAAATAGAAGGCGCCAACAAAAATAACTACCCGACTCCCAACGAGCTCTGTGTAAGCTTGAGAGCTTGTCTCTCTTCCCAGCAGAAGTTGGTCCAATAAAAGATATTATATCACCCACCTTGTCTCACTAATATCCTAGGACCAACACGGCTACAACTACACTGCATAGGACTCCCACCAAACGTTCTAGATAGAACACACCTGCTATGCCGCTGAAAGAGCCAGGTAAGCCTCTAGCATTCTGTTAGTTTCCATGGAGTACAAATAGAGTACTAATGGATGATGGAAAGCACAACAGGACCCATGGAGGGACCAACAGCAATGGGTTTAATAAGGATGTGGTTAAAAAAAAGGGGTAATTAAATTGTTCCATTTTGATGAGTTATTACACCAATTTTTTCCTGTTTTATTTCATTTTAGTAGTGTCCAACTGTACCTTGTTCTGAGCCAAAACATTGCACATAGCAATAACATCAGGGAAGAGGAATACAAAAGGATAGTCCAATGGTTCATGCACTAGCCTGTAACTGGGGGAACTTTGGTTCAAGTCACTGCTCTGCCAGACTTCCTGTAGGACATTGGGCACGTCACGTCATCGCTCTGTGCCTCGGTTTCCCATCTGTAAAATGCATTTACCCACTGCATAGGAATCCTGTGAGATTTAATACATTTGAGATTGTGAGGTACTCAGATACTACAGTCATGGGGGTCATGTAAATGCCAGACAGAGAGAGAAAAACAATCATATTTATTCCGCTCTTCTCCTTACAAAGATTTTCAAATTGATACGCACAGAATGCAGACAACTCTGGGGAACAAAAGGACGGCCATATTGGGTCAGACCAATGGTTCATCTTGCCCAGTATCCAGTCTTCCAACAGCAGCCAGTGCCAGGTGTTTCAGAGGGAAGGAACAGAACAGGGCAATTATCAAGTGATCGGTTCCCTGTTATCCAATTCCAGCTTCTGGCAGTCAAAGGTTTATGGACACCTGGAGCATGGGGTTGTGTCCCTGACCATCTTAGCTAATTCCCATTGATAGATAAGTTCATAGATCTAAGTCTTTTTTTTTAAATCCAGTTATACTTTTGACCTTCACAATATCACCTGGCAATGAGTTCCACAGGTTGACTGTGCATTGTAGAAAGTACTTCCTTATGTTAATTTCAAACCTGCTGCCTATTCATTTCATTGGGCAACCCCTAATTCTTGTGTTATGTGATGTGGTAAATTACACTTCCCTTTTCACTTTCTCCACACCATTCATGATTTTGTTCAGACCTTTATGATATCCCCCCTTTGTTGTCTCTTTTCCAAGCTGGACAGTCCCAGTCTTTTTAATCCTCCTCGGACGGAAGCTGCTCCATACCCCTAATCATTTTTGTTGCCCTTCTCTGTACCTTTTCTAGTTCTAATATACATTTTGTGATAGTTTTTAAATAAAGCTCAACCAAATATTATTTCCAAATGTTTCAGGGTAATTTATGCTGAGGCAGATCTTCAGCTGGGGTAAATTGTCATAAGTTTCAATGCCCTACGACAATTCACACCAGCCAAGGATCTGCCCCTGCATTTCACTGTTTACAGTAATAAATGACAATTTAAGATTATGGATTTATTGTGGCAGAATGATTTGTTTTATTTCAATTTAAGCAAAAACAACTATTTAGGAAAAAAGGTATAGCAATATAGCACATTAGGTTAGGACAGGAAATGAAGAAAAATTGTGTTTCCAGTTGAAACTACCAGGGCATTTGTTAATTATTATTATTGGCCATCAGATTGAAATTATCCATGTTGGAATTTGGCCAGGACACCACCCCTGCTCTTGCACATGCAGAGGGATACACACAAAAAGTGCCAAAGAATCTTTAAGGAGCTCAAGTGAACAGGGCATATCAGCCAAAAAAGGTGTTACCTCCAGCAGCACATGGCCAGTTAGCACCACAGGAGGCATTCATTCAGTACTAACTCAGAGAGAAAACACCACCTACTTATCCCCCAAGAGCACTTCTGTGTTCCTTAGAGGTCTCCCATTTACATATCAAACCAGCCCATCCCTGTTTAACTTGTAAGAGCTGGCAAGAACATAGTACAAAACATCTTGGGGAAAAAAGAACAACTGCTGGGACAGCGGTGATGGGTGGGATGCACAGAAGGATTTAGATCTACCCCTCTCTCTCTTTCTACTTGTTCTCAAGGAGGACAAAATAGCTGTTTGTGCTGGGAAGATATTTGTGGCCAGTGACTTCAGCCACATCCGCTGGAATCAGGCTTTCATCCACTCAGCTTGGGAATAGTTGTATTTCTCATGCTGTGGTTAGAAAGACATTTTTCAGCAGAGAATCCAGTTAGTTTCATTTGCAAGATGCCTGTTTCTAGGGTGTGGGCAGAAGGAGTAAATCAGGATTGAATAGGATGGCGAGAACCAGGTAAAACAGGGACTCTGATCCTTCTGTAGTCAGCCATCTATTTGCACTGTACATTCGATAAGCGCTCTCACTGGCTGCGTTCTCCTAATATTGCAGATTTTCTCAGCCACGCACCATCTTATTGTTACGGTTTTCCATGTATAAGGCCCAAATAGACAGATACGTTGAGCCAGGAATGACTTGTTTGAGGTGAGGAGAGAAAAAGAACAAAAGCAATGTACCCCACGAGAGACAGAGAGAGCACAGCGCATACACCTCCTCTGTGAGAGTCTGCACTGACCACAAACAACAAACCAGCCACTCAATTTAATCCACCAGGAGGGGAGTGTTGGAAATTGAAAGGTGCAGTACTCAGGGAAACAAAGAGACATCATTTTTATGGCTGTGTACACCAGTTTATTATTTGTCGAGTGACAATAATGTGCTTCTCAGTCTGACATTCCTAATTTTCCAGACATTTGTTGTCTCAGGACTCCAAGCAATTGGTTCACGTGTGCTCACTAGTTTAACGCTTTAGCTTGAAAAGGAAAGCGGAAAGGGCTGACAACCAAGAACTTAAGCAGCCCGTGTTCATCCTCAGAAGGCCTATTTCATGGTGAAGATTGATCTCCTCACAGAAACAGACTCTGCTTTGTTAAGCTGATTGCCCGTGCTTAGGCTTTAGAGTTGTTGGTTTTTTAAATAAATGTTTGAGTGTAGCTACCGCTGTTTCCTTTGGTTACTGAGAAGCCTGTGGAGTTCCCAGAGTGGGGATACTTGTGCTGATTTAAACCCTGGACAGATCTCCAGGTACGCCACATAGACCAGGATGCAGCAGTAGCTCAAAGCCATCCCCACGACACTGTCTCCCCTACTCATGAGCTCCCCTTCCTTAGTTGACAGCTTCACTGATCTAGGGAACTACATGTAGCTTTCATGGGAGGTCCTGCTTGCAGAGGGAGACGTGTGTCTCAGGCCAATCCCATGGGCAACTTTGGACAGCAACTGTGAACTGTGAACTCTATTCAGTGGAAATCCAGTGCATAGAGTGGAGCACATAGAGGAGTAAATGGGCTACTCTCTTTTATATCAAAGGGAATTTCCTCAGTGCAGCTTCCTTCCTAGATATAATGAGCTGCAACTATTCAATTGGGACATCACAAATCATGGATCCCTGATGAGGCACAAGCTTCTGGCCAGTCACGGATGGAAGTGGAGGATGTTACAGAGGAGGCGAGTTCTTCAGAGCACTTCTCTCTTCCTCCGAGCATCACTCCAGTCTTGCCTGGGTTCAGCTTTAGCCACTCGTGGTATCTACATTCATTCCACTGGATTCCCAACTGCTTTTCTCCCAACTGCTGAGTTCCGCTTTTCGTTAGGAAAGCTGGGAGGTGCTCCGGTTTCTGGGTGATGGAAAGGAGGGGCACGTGTGAGGTCTGAAGCTAATCTTTTACCTTGGGATTTTTACAGGAGAGGAAGCAAGTTAGAGGTGGGATCCTAGCATTATGGCCAACATAGACTTCAGTAGAAGCTGCAGGGTGCTCAGCACTTTTGAGCAGGGGAAAAAATATAAATCAGGCCACGTATTTGGGGAGCTCCAGATGCACTTAAAAGTCTAACCTTAGGCAGAAGGGGGTTAGTCGGAAGGGGGTTTCACTAGCCAGGAAATGGAAACAAAGCTCCAAGCCCCAGTCCTTTTAAGCCCTGTTCCTCAGACCTTGTTTATTAACTGCCAAACAATCACAACAACATAATTGATAAACACTGGGCGATAATTCCCCAAAGCCTTGCCCTGCTTTAGCTAGCCCGAAGGGGAAAAGGCCCCTTAGCTCCCCTTTGACCCAGCTCCCCCTTCATTTTATACTTCTCCCCCAGCAGCCATGTGACCTGCTAGTTCTGAGTTTTAAAGAGCCCACAGGCTGTAACAGGCACACTGGGATGTGTGAATGTACCCCAAGATCCTGTGTGCCCTCTTACACACCCTCTGCTGAAATCTGGGCTTAAACAAAGACTTTACACTATGACTCCAAAACACTGCAGTCTATCATAGTGTTGTTTAATACATCAATAAAGCCTCCAACTTATGGGAGTTTTAGTGCAACTGCCAGAGGATCTCAGGACAAATTGTCACTCACGATGGTTGTCCACCTAGCCCATTGTTTTATAACTCACACCTGCACTGAGAATACATTTATCTCGGCAGGTTCATGAATCAACATTTGAGGACTTCTAGCTCAAAATTATAAGATCCCTGTTTTCAAATCTAAAATATATAGTTGTGTTCTCTGTGACCATAGGAGAAAAAAGTCTGATATGATCTAAAAAAAGCTTTTACCTGGTTATTCTTATAGTGTCTCTAGTATGATTTATTTTTCTTTTTGCATATACTGACTGTACTGAAAATAGTTACAACAGAAAAAAATAGCAATCTTTGTTCCAATGCTGAATATATGCATTAACTTGAAAAAAATGATCAGATGTGCAATTTAATCTGAGAAGCAATCTTTGCCAGCAGGTCACAGAAAAGACTATTTTTAATGCTTTGGAGCTTGTGAGGAATTAATAACAGAGAAGGAAGGAATATCATCAGGCCAGAGCCTTCGCTGGTGTAGACCGCATCACTCCATTACAGGCAATTATTATTTTTTATATTACTGTAGCACCTAGTGGCCCCCACTGAAGTTAGGGACCTATGGTGCTAGGTGCTGTACAGACACATAGTAAGAGAGAATCTCTGTCCCAAAGGGCTTGCAATCTGAATAGACAACAGACAATGCAAGAGTAGAATGGGACACCGAGTGGGGAAGTAACTTATCCAAGGGCACAGAGCAGGTCAGTGGCACTGAGGGGGGAAACTAAAAAAAGGGGACATGGTTGTGACCATTCCCCAACTCTTAACACCTCCACCACCTGCAAACTGTGCCAGGGTGTCCTCCCCTATCCTCCCAGGGCACTAGGACCCTGTAGTGCCCCCAACCCCCAAATCCCTGTGGGAAGAAAGAAACTCTACACATTGGCAGGGGCAGGCACAGACACAGAAGTGGCTTCAGTAGGGCCTGGTGGATGCTGATGAGGTCATCAGAATTTGTTCTACACTTACAAGTCTGGACACACTCTCCCCTGGGCTGATTGGCTGTTTGCTCCAATTCCCTCAGTCTCCTCACCTGAGCCTCATGCCACCTGGACTCCACTCTGCGACCCCGGCCTCGTCCCCCTCACGCCCTCTGTGTTTCATTTAGCTAATCCCCTCCCAACAAAACCCCACCCAGATCAAATTAAAAATAAAATGGTGGCACTGACATGCTGTTTGCTGCCCTCACATTGTTCTCTCTGCTTGCATGTTCCATCCCTTTCTCCCACTCAGTGTCTGCCACATCTATATATATATATGGAGATATACCTATCTCATAGAACTGGAAGGGACCCCGAAGGGTCATCGAGTCCAGCCCCCTACCTTCATTAGCAGGACCAAATACTGATTTTGCCCCAGATCCCTAAAGTGGCCTGCTCAAGGATTGAACTCACAACCCTGGGTTTAGCTTGGCCAATGCTCAAACCACTGAGCTATCCCCCCCAGGAACTCTTTGAGGACTGTCAATTAGTCTATGGCAGAGTGCCCAGTACAAAGGTCCTTAGGCCCTACCATAATAATAATAAAAGGTCTCCTGACCCCTAGTCCAGTGGACTAGGCCATGCTGCCATCTTGAGTCAATAGAGCTACAACAATTTACACCAGCTGAGGATCTGGCCCATTGATTTCAGTGGTCATGAAGAGCGCTCAGTCCCTCTCAGATGGCAGGCTCAGTACCTTGCCCTGAGCTAATAGGTAAGCAGCCTTGAGAAATTCTTCTCACCTCCTCAGCCAGGGGGCAGGAATATTTTCACTGTCACCAACACCAGCAGTAAAGGGCAGGCAAGAAGATCTGGTGCCTGGGCTAGTACCTTCTATGGCGATTCTGCAAGACAGGCTGAAGGATCTAGCCTCCTCGTGCACCATTCCTTGCTGTATGCATGCAGACTCGGTTTGCAAATCTTCAACCTATCACTCCTCAAAATTCTGGCAGCAAGTTAGTTCACGCCAGGGGCATTACGAGCAAAGCAACACTGCTCCCAAAAAATATAAATCATTAACGTGTTTGGGTACATCGTTAAGCCACTGAAGAGCATATTGCTGTACCTGGCAAATAAGCAGCTCCTTCTTGGAATGAGATGAAAGACTTTTTTTTGTTAGTGAGAAATCCCAAACAACAGCTACCAGTTAAACCGAGCTTCCTTCTGCCATCTCATTCTTTTAGTGCATGAGCAAATCCTGCTTTTCTTAATATGACACAAAGCACTAAAACTGAAACAAGCACTCATATTCGCTGTACTGCTGACACACAGCAATGGTTTATGTCAATAGCAGTTCTTTGGCGAGTTGCCTGGAGGTTTAAGCTTCCAGATATTGTATTTGTATATTCAGTTGAAGAAATGTATCCTCACATCTTCAGTCATACTCACATCAAAAGGGGTGGCAAAACATTATTAATTAGACTAGCCTAGAGTTGGAATTTTCCACAAGGTTTGGGGTAGTTGCTTTAGTCTATGCTTGCACAAAGCCCCAACATCAGTAAGTTTCAGTAACCATTGGCACACACCTATACATTTCCATGCAAAGTTAGGTACCTGTTTGCTATACACTCCTGAAAATATTATGGGCCAGATTTTCAGCTCATGTAGATCAGAGCAGCTGCACCAGCTGTGGATCTGTCCTTTGAGCTTTCTCTATAGAGAAAAATTATAGTTAAAGTTGAATTCAAATTTCCATTATAACAGCCCCCCTTTATTTATTTGGCATCAATGCTCTCAAAGATTCTTTTCATGAGCTCAAATTTTCCATGCATGCTCTCAGCCTACAGGGGAAATTTTGAGGGAAACCCCATCAGCTATTTTTAAGTTCTTGGAGAGTGAAAATAATTCAGTTTAAAAAATTATTAAACTTTTTTTTTTGCACTCACAAATATCTCCAACTTGGAGAGAGGAAGGACATTCTTGCGGTTAAGGCAACAGGGCTGGGACTAAGAACACCTGGGTTCAATTCCCATTCTGCAACAGACTGCCTTTGTGAAAGGGAATTCATTTAAACTCTGTGCCTCAGTTCCTCGTTTGTAAAATGGGGATATTTACTGTCTCCTACCCTTTGTCTGGCTTCTCTATTTAGACTGTAAATTCTTTGGGGCAGGCACTTCTCCAGCTGTTCATTTAACAGTAACTAGTATTTAAAACCACCCTAAATGTACAGTGAGAGAGAGTTTGTACCACTGGGAGAAATTTAACTCTTCATTGCTTGCCTTTATACACATAGGGAGGATTTTCCTAAGTGCTTAAGGGATCTAGGAGCATGTTGCCACTGAAAGGCAATTAAATTAGTGCCTGTACCTCCCTTAGGTGTTTTTGAAAATCCCACCCTTAAATTTCTAACACTTACCATAGGACTTGTATAGTTTTTACACTGAAATATAGATACAGCACGTGCATGTAGCTATACAAACACACGCATGCAGCACGCAAATTCTTTCCCTGTGTTGTCCAGTTGAGCTAGCAAATAGAGTACACTCAACCAACCCCCATTCTGGGAGACTCACATAGCAGCTGGGCAAGATTCCACTATGATTGGGTAATCACCAACACGCCATTGGCTGACATTCAAGGGTGGACATAAACACACACTGCTCCTTTTCAGTAGAGCAGTCTGCTCTGCATTACTTCTAGTCCCCACCCTCACCCGAGCCATCCCACTATGCGCCAGACAAGGGATGCCATCTCCTCTTGTGCCTTTGACTTCTGTTTGGTGGGAACAGGAGGTAATGGATCAGAACAGGTCTTGAGAGCAACATCATACTGGAAAGCAATCACTGGAAACAGACCAAGGTTGACTGAATAATTACCAGGCCTATTTACGCTAGGATGGTCTAGCAGTTCAGGACAATCAGCTGCAGTAGGCACCATCCTACTGCGTTACCATCTGACTGATGCCCGCTAGTCTCATTTCCACTACAGCTAATACAAGAGCATGTTTCATTAGAATACACCACTCTAGTTCACACAAGCAGCTCTGAAGCTATAAATTGGTACCATCTTCTGCTAATATTCTGACAGAGTTTTGTCTACAGCCCTCCCAGGAACCCCAAGACAATAAGTGGAATAACAATATTAGCAAGAATAATTAGCACTAAGTCCTTTTATAAACCATCGTTAAAACCTCACAATATCTCTACGAAGTTGGTATTAATTAAGGCAGAAGGAAATTGCAACTTGCCTAGGATCTCATCATAGCAAGCCAGGAATAAAATGCTGGTGTTTTGACTCTCAGTTCCCTGCATCAGAACATACTGCCGCCTCATGCCACTGTAACCTTGTATGCTCTTAATGGCATTGCAATTGTGAGTAGAGCTGGTTGAAAAATGATTTTTCCCCCAGGTAGAAAACGTAGATTTGTGAAGAAAATTCAACCATTGAAAAATTTTGGCTGAAAACTGAAATATTTTGATTTGGGAATACTGGTGTAGTGCCTCATGAGAGCTGTGGTTCAGGGGTAGGGTGACCACATAGCAAGTGTGAAAAATCGGGATGGGGTTGGGGGTAATAAGGGGTAATAGAAGCCTATATAAGAAAAAGACCCAAATATCGGGACTGTCCCTATAAAATTGGGACATCTGGTCACCCTATTCAGGGGTCTCAAGTTCCCATTTCTCCTCTATAGGCCAGACTCCCTGGTCAAACTACATCTCCCATGATGCACCATGGTTTCTCCTCTTGGAGAAGGGAGGCAATTAATCACGAGAGTCCCTTGCCATGGTGCATTATGGGAGATGTCGTCTGGCTGGGGAACCAAGTCCATAAAGGAGAATGGGGTTATGAGCCAATCAAACTGCAACTCCCAAGAAGGACCCCGGTAGCAATTTCAAATCAACTTATTTTGGTTTTCAGCCAAATATTTCAGGGTTTGGAAGCTTTAGGGGGTTTTTAATAATGAAAAAAAAATCAAAATTTTCCACAGAAACCAAACACTTTGCACAGAAAAATGTGTTTAGTTGAAGACAGAATTCTCCAACATAAAAGTTTTGACAAATTTTTTGATCAGCCCCAATTCTGAGCATTAAACTGAGCTTTTGTGGCAAATGGAAGTCCCCTACCCCTTGAAAAACTCATCTTCATATTAAGCTAGTGATGAGCTGAGACTTCTATTTTTCTGATAAACCCTGTTCATTTTGTTATCTTGTCCTCTTATCCACCCCCACTCTGTTGCCTGTTTTGTCCACGTGTTGCATCCTGTGTCACACAGACTGTAACATCGGTGTTCATGCCAGCACAATGGACCCCTGATCCTTGATTGAGGTTCTTAGGTGCTATTGTAATAAATAATAAATCAGTAGGGCCTGACCCAAAGCCACTGAAGTCAAAGGGAGTCTTTCTATTGACTTCTATGACCTTTGGATCAGGCCCAGGATGCAGAAGTTTACTGAACTTCTTCACACGGATTAATACACACACACACCCCTATTGGACTTAGGGCTATTAAAAACAATTTTTGCCAACTATACACCAATAGAGATTGAGTACAGAGTACTCAAACATTGGGGTTAATCACAGTCCAGCATGCTTGCAAGATCCTGAGATTGTAGCAAAGTGCAATGTCCTACAGCAAACCAGCATCATCATCTGTCACGCACAATCTCATGTAGGCAGCATAGGTAACTTTCCACTGGGGCTTCGGCACAGACTGACATCCAGATTCCTGCCTACAGTACAACCTCACTAATCATCGCTTCACTAATCCACATGTTTTATGAAGTGCACCAAAACCTCACAGCCTCTCCTTCCCCCTTAGCAAAGATTTAACAGCAGAGTACTGGAATGAGGTCTCAGATTACTAAGACGGGAGTATTTTTAACCAAGTGTGCTACGCACATTGATTTGGACATTATGAAGTAGTTTGATAAATAATTAGAGCTAAAACTAGAGTTGTCAAAATAAAAGCCGAATCTTTGGCATATTTGGAGAGGAGAGAAGCCATCTGGGGTTTCAGTTACAAAAGCCCATTCTAACAGAACGCTCTTATTGCTCAGCACTTCCCAGGATCTGGTCCTGTAGGAACAAAATCTATTCTCTGATATAGGTGCTTTCCTTGTTTGCTATATGTATCAACTTACTTGCTAGCTTACTTGCCAAGTGGTCTCCCAGCCATTCCTGCCTTCATGACGTAATCTGCACCCTTTAGATGAAAGCCAACCAGCTCCATAGTCAATGAAAACATTTGACTATGCTCTGAAATAAAAGCCACTGTATACTGTGGTGCCTTATCTCTGTGCTTAGCAGCCCCTACTATCTCTCTGAATTAGGTCAGACATTCAACCCTAAATATCAGCACTGAGATTCTTTGGCTGTGACAGTTTCACTTTCCAAACCTACCAGATGTTACACATATGCCATGCTTAAGACTGGAACTAAAACGAGAGCCCGTTATTAATCTTCTTCCTGTTTTCCAGGACATTTTTAAACAAGTGAAACAAACAGTTCACTATCTTGTTCATTATGTTTCTTGTTGATTATGTCTGTTATTGACTTGGGGCATGAATAGGGTTGCCAACTTTCTACTTGCACAAAACTAAACACCCTTGCCCCGCCCACTGCCCCGCCCCTCCTCCGATGCCCTGCATCCAGCTCACTCCATCCCCCCCACTCTCTGTCACTCGCTCTCCCCACCCATCCTCACTCACTCACTTTCACCAGGCTGGCTCAGAGGACTGGGATGCAAGAAGGGGTGAGGGCTCCGGCTGGGCGTGCGGGCTCTGGGGTGGGGCCAGGGATGAGGGGTTTGGGTGCAGGAGGGGGCCAAGGGATTTGGAGTATGGGAGGGGGCTCCGAGCTGCAGTAAATACTGCAAATGAATTTCTATTAATTTATTTGGAAATTTGAACAAATTCACTACCACTACATTTATTCCCTGTTTCTGCAATTTTCATCAACATTCATGAAATCAAGTTTTATTGGCACAAATGCGGACAGCAAATTTGAAGCTCATGAAAAGCAATTTTTATATTCTCTTTCTGTGTGCATTCACATCAAAAACTAATACTGACAGTTAGGAAGTTTTTCCTAACATCCAACCTAAATCTCCCTTGCTTCTTGTCCTATCCTCAGAGGTTAAGGAAAACAATCTTTCATCCTCCTCCTCCTTGTAATAACCTTTTATGTAATTGAAAACTTATGTCCCCCCCTCGTTCTTCTCTTCTCCAGACTAGAACAAACCCAATTTTTTCAGTCTTCCCTCATAAGTCATGTTTTCTAGACCTTTAATCATTTTTTTTGGTCTCCTCTGGACTTTCCCCAATTTGTCCACATCTTTCCTGAAATGTGGCACCCAGAACTGGACACAATACTCCAGTTGAGGCCTAATCAGCGTGGAGTAGAGCGGGAGAATTACTTCTCGTGTCTTGCTTACAACATTCCATCCCATCAGAACTAACACCTTGGTAGGCAGTCTCAGAAGACAGGCCAAAAGCTGAATTTGCATGGAGGCTGAACTAAGAAGACTGACAGGGCAGTAGAGAGGCCACTTCTTTTGCTGTATCATCTGATGGCTAAGCAGAGAACTTCATTCTCCAAAGCTGTCAGTCCTGGCATTGTTCAGAAGCACCACATACATTGTGCCAGATCTACCGCGGGTGTGAATCAGCGTAGTTCCATAAACGTCAATGGAGATGTGCCCATTTACACCAACGGAGGATGCGGCCCACGTAGACTGACATTTTAAATTAAAAGTCTAGGAGTATAAACCCAAATCGTAAGAGAGCCTGATGAGCTGTACGTTTCCAAGTGAGCTCCACGGAAGGCAGTCCTGCACACAGGAGTAATAGCATTGAGTCAATGTGTGTTAATGTTACAATTTATTATCTAATCCAGGTTTGAAGTTCAGTCTTTGTCAACTTGCTACAAGAGGTCAAATCTGGATAACAGAACATGGCACCTGAACAGCAGCATATCGCCTCCATCCCAGGCAGCCGCACTCCAGTCATAGCAGGGCTGAGATATTTAGTACCTCCCATCTCTAAGGATTACCTTTGCTTCTTCCTGAATGAGGACAATGCTGGAATGACACCCTCTAAGCAATGCTGCCGGTGCGGTCCGTACCACGCTGGCACTTCATTCTCAGCTCCCAGAACATGCTCACTGGAGGAGGCTTTGGAGTTGGTCAGATGGGTGCCCAGAGTAATGCTCACTTCAGCTGAACAGATGTGATACTGCTGTGGGCTTCTGTGTGTACATCTCTGCTGGCATCAGTCATTCATACAAAGCCTGCAAAGCTACTCTAACTTCCTGCACTTGTGCGCCAACTGCAGTCAAATATTTTGCACTTCTACAGTTGCTTTTTGTACATGGATCTCAATGCCCTCTACAGACACTGATCAATCAAGCCACACACGGCCCCTCTTTATTGGGCTTCAATGTTGTTATCCCTATTTTACAAAAGGGGATGCTGACACACACCCACAGGTTAACGGATATGTCCCCAGGGCAATACATCTGCAGGGCAGGGTCAGGAACTGAAGGCAGAACTCCTCACTCCCATCCTTCTGCTTTAAATGTGACCCATTTCTCTCTCCATGAAAGTACCCTTCTGCCTGGGCATTGCTCTAGCTCTGCACTCAGGCACGGGTCTTTAGTCTGCCAGAGGTGTTACAAACTGATCATTGTGCTCTAGTGGCAGCAGCATCCCCAAGCATCTTGCACGGTAGAAGATGCAAGTGGGAGGGTTTCTAATCACTGTTAATTCAGCACGGCTGGTGGTTTGTTCAGTATCAATGGCAAGCTTGGTATTATACACAGCACAAACGGATGAGAACATGCTACATACAATTAGAAACAGTCCAGAACTCAGTTCCAGAGCCTGATCCAGATCCAAACTCTTCCAGAGCTTGAGGAGATGTGCAGTCAATGTTCCCATTCACATCTGTCTTTCAGAAATTAGCAAGAGCCAAAGGTTTCCCCAGAGACAGAGGAGGTTTGGACCCAGTGACCGAGTTTGTCCCATGTCTATTTAAAAGGCTCATGAAACCACATTGCCTGCATCAACCTGATACTGACATATTTAACACCTGATTTTTCACCTCTCCGTTGCTGAGTTAGCCTTTACACTGCATTCGTGCTTCCACTTACACTGTCATTAGATACAGTAGTTAGTATAAGCCCCAATTCCCGAAGCAGCATGCAGGGTTTCAACAGACACAAACCAAATCAACACTCACATGAGTCCTCCCATGTGCTGCTTTGAATCTTTAGGGGTTAACATCAAATTCTAGCTCCTCTGTCTATACAAAAAAGTTACTTATGTGCCAGGTGTTATCTCCTAGGGCAACTGCTGTGCATACAGCACAACAAAGGAAATATTCCCTCTGTTATTATAGACATAAAACAAAATCCTTCCTTGATGTAACTCCACTGAAGTCCGTGGCAGTACATCCAGTATGGGGATCGCCTCCTAACAAAAAGGATCCAGTAGCTCAATGTAACTTACGTTGCACCCAGATTTTTTTTTTTAAATAAAAGAAACCCGTAAACATATTCTTATTTGGATCGGCTGTAAGGGAGGAGTAGTTCCCACTGACCAATGGTTTCTGAGAAAACTTCTGCCTCTGTGAGCAGCTGCTACAGGAACTCCCCAAGCAAATAAGGCTTTGAATTCTGCAAAAAAAGTGTTAAACTCTTTCCAAAAAGCTAATAAAACCAGCTCTTCTGTGTAATGTGAGTTATACTGCCTTTTTATTTGTTAGATCTCACTCTTCCAAATTACACTGCTGGGTTTTGCTTCAAGTGCAAGTGGAGGCAAAATGCCAATGCAATATTTTGTAGGTCATCCAAAACCACACACAAACACACATTCACACACACACACAATATAACACACCCACACCCAGCGAGTGCGTGTACTAACACACTGTAAATAAGTAAGCTATGACCAAACCCAAACCAAACCCTTAAATCTAAACACAGCTCCCTTCTCCCACTCCTCTGGGAATTTTTGACTTATTCAGACCTGAAGTCCTGGGTGTGATCTGATCCCTGCATTTTTGAGTCCTGTGCAGATCCAAACTCCCAGGGAGAGGTCATAAATAATCTCTTCGCTGAACTTCTGTTTCCAAACTAGACCCTGCAGCTGAAAGAAGCAGCTTCATGAACACCGGCCAGTAGAAGGACTGCCATGCTAAATGCCAATTTAGGGTCTGATCCTAAACTCACTGAGGTCAATGGGCTTTGGATCAGGCACTTACTAAGAGATCCTGAAAGCACAGAAAGACCTATAGTTCTTAAATTCATTCCAGGGAGACATTTTATAATTC